CACATAAACTGTCCAAATGACCAAACACAAAACAACTGAAAATCATCTCTCTGTACTTTGATGAATCATGTAGTTTTAGGCCGACTCTAACACTAATGAACAAAGTAATTCATTGTGTTCCATCTTCATCTGAAATACTGGATATATTATCATCACGGACCGACATATTTATAAACAAATGCTTAGTATTAATTGCAGGAAATGAATTTCAGTATGATCTAGGTAATTAGTCTTTAGGTTATCAATTTGGTGTTTTAAGGCTTTTATTTGGATTGAAAATAAGAGTTCTTTGATAGTCGTATTGTCTAGCTTATAAAGTATATTATCTAGTCAAGCGAACGAAAGTATCATGCTTAAAGTTTTTTGAAGATATTTCGATGAAATTGACAGGTGATATGTGGTTATCGTATATGTGTTGTGTAATGAGGGTGAGTATGAAAATAATTCAATAATAGGAGAATGTATACGAAGTGCATATTTTCACATCAATGCACATGAAATAAATCGTTAAAAATAAACGTTTTCGAGGGAAACAGTCTTGCATTATACAAGAACAAGTTTATTTGACTATATATATAGACTAGTTGTTGACACAAAAATTATTTCAATAGCTGAAATCATGAGTCAATTAAAGCTAGACCACCATGGAAAACCTGGCAGCACTAGACGGCCGTCTCGTCTTATTGTTGGACTCCTCTGCAGTGCATATCAACGATCCCGCTCCCCGCGAGATTCGAGCTCAGAATCTGTCAGTCTCACGCGCGAGCGCTTAACCACTAGACTACTGAGCCGGCCAGCATCCAACGGTGTTAATGTGTAACTTCAACCAATCCACTATGCACTGCTGAGGAGTCTCATACTAGGACGAAATGGCCGTCCAGTGCTTCCAGGTTTTCCATGGTGATCTAGGTTTAATTGACTTATGGTTTCAACTATAAAATCTCATTTCAGGTTGCGTACTTGCATAAAATCTTCGTCGGTCAAGGTCGTTCTACCTTATATTCAGCCAACCAGTTACTTCTCATATAGAATTATTAATCTTTATAAATAGGTAGATTAATAATCGAAACAATGTCGATAAGCAATTGTTTTTGTGTTTTTTTGTAAATGTGGAAATACGTGTTTGCCTAAATGTTTGGATTCATACTGATATGTTATAAAAATGAGATTTACTTACATGATGTGACTTTTTCTTATTGCTCATTCAAGTAAAACAGTAAATTTCTATTATATATTTTGACATTATATGTTGTTTATTCTAACTAATCATATGTGAAATGAATGTATTCCAAAGAAATGGTTATGTATTACAATAATTTATACTGTCAAACTAACTCATGACGGGTAATTAAAATGCCGCCGTCAAATGCCCTAGTACGGCCGAAAGTGGGGAGAGTCAATTGTCTCTCTCCAAATGCTCTTACATGACCACGTGCATACAACCACTGCCAGGGAAGTCCTACTCACTCCATTCTTGTGGTATTACTGTTGTTTACGGAATTGAGAGGACTAAAAGTGAATGTCCCTCGCTATGCCCGGGTTGATGGACACAGCGATTCCTCATAGGGGAGTTGGAAAACCCTGATTCCAAACCAATGGTGCACATGGGCGCCGGTATCTTGAAGAAAAAAATAGCGTATGAACCAGTCGTTGGTAACGGGCTACCATGGGTCTGTATCTCCTGACGTTGCTTCACTGCCTTGTGGATCAGAGCTTTAGGTCGAAAGGTTCCGGGTGTGACCCCCTAATAAAACCATGCGGTTTGGTTTGGGCCCTCGTGCAGTATCCCAGTCCTCACACAAATCGAATGATTTATGTGGCGTATATCTATTTGGTGCCTCTTTGTATCAATGTTTATGTGTTTGGATAAATAAATTTTAATGTTGATAGAAGCTAATTAACAAAAGCAACAATTACATAGTAACTTTTCTTCTAAAGTATATTTTTTCATTGTACTTGAAACTGTAGACTAATTAATCAGACAATAAATCGCATCTTCACTTTATTGTTGAGGGAAATTCATTTCATACAAGCAAACGATTTTGTTATGTGTTGTAGTAGCTTAAGAAAATTTAACCATGATTGAAATTGATTGTAGGAGAGTTGTTATAATATGATCATTTACTTAGGAATACTAGCGATTACGTTGTCCCACAGGATGTACGTATGCCAACAAGAGACTGATGAATTACAGTCCTAAATAACAATACGAAGATACAAGTAAAACAACGTCAAATGAATTTAAACTTCATCCCATTACACAAGCGGATGGCTATCAGGACTCAGTAACTAAGTGAATAACGTGATGGCGTTTGAAGCGGACGGTTAATATCAACTCTGAGATGCAGTCACATCCAGCTGATGTGTCTCAAATAGAACGAGACACGTGTCCTGGATCCCACTGCTACCCACTATCAATCTTTGCTTACGTTTGTGTTTTGATGATTATGTTTGAAGCTTTATAACTAAAACAGACAAAGTTATTAAAACAGCTCGAACTCAGACGACATAATCATTAGCTTAAAACCTTAAACTGTTTCACTGGCATTCATGACACCTAAGTTTTGTCACAACAACTGATTTTAAACAATTGGGTATTACTGTTGTAACGATCTTGATCATTATTATTCAAACATTAAAGTACAAAAAGAGGAGAAGAAAAATAACAATCGATGCCCTATGATTGCCTTAAACCAGTCACATGACTTATCATTTAAGTCCACATTGTTTGATGTTGAATGTTTGGTCAATACATATTTATTGGTCTAACGATGGGTAAATTATTGTTATTATAACAGAGTGATGATGTATGTAACACACACACACACACTCACAGAGAATCGCAAATCAGAAAACTAGGGATAATTGAGAAAAATCTGAAAAGCCAATTCGAAAAAAGAAGGATATTTCAAAGTCTGTAAAGCAGGGCAACATACTGTCGATAACTGACCTACGTAAACTAATTAGCAAATTCTTAATGTAATCTATAGAATTTATTTAATATCTAAACACACACACACACACTGCAGCGGATGATAACTGGTAACGTGTTAGTGAAATAAACTGATATAAATAACTCTTGTTGCAATAAACTGAAAGTAAACAAAATAGCATAGTGATTATTTTCCGTTATTCGCGTAATTTCAACCAGATAAAACGTGTGGCAAATTTTTCTCTGAGAAAAGTGTTCTATAAAATATCAAATATGCTTATCAATCAAATTATAAGTTATAAATGAAACTAGAGGGATTGTGTTTTAAGCAAAGATGGATATTTGCTAGCAGGATGCAAATCTCGTCCTATTGGCGACACATCAGCTCGATGTATCTGCATCTCCGAGTTGATGTTCAATCAGGGGCTCGAACCTAGTACCGCTCGCTTCATACGTCATCTCGTTATTCACTTAGCTACTGAGAGCAAACAAGTTCAACTTTCATTTTTTATAATGATTACTCTCCAGTTTATGTTACAATCAATTCCAGTTGTAATCTAACTTGACATAAATTCTTTTCTCATAAATAATTTAAAATGAAATACGGATCAACAGATTGAAGAATTATAGAAGTGAAGTCCTAGTGATTAAAAGTTTTTGAATCACTGGATGTCATTTCATTGGTCTAAAGGTAATTCAATCACTGCGAAACCTAAACGTTATAGGTTCTATATATGGTGAGGTTACAATAGGTACTGGTCAAGAATACTGTACTAGAATTCAGCTACATTATAATGATATCCGATTTTTACTGATTACCTAGTCGATATCGGTTTATGAGATGACACTTCAACAATACATTTTAGTAGGAAATAAAATTTGCTAACTATTGGCTGATGTTATAGTTCATTACAATGAACTCCAGTATCTAAACATTGATACTTTCTTGTTTAACGAAGTTCAGAGTATATTCATATATAAATCGACGAAATTTAAAATGTTCAGCTTGAAGTAACACAGTTTTTCTGAAGATATATAAGTCACAACTAGATAATACCTCCTGAAGAAAAAGATCAAAAATGAAACCTTAATTTATACACTGTTATTGAGCTGAGACAACAAAACTCCATCAATTCCATCCACCTGAATTGCAAATCTTCTCCACCAGACATTGTTATCAATTTATTTTTTTGGATGAAATTGGAGAATTGTAGTTGAATTAGCATGAATTGATTTTATAGGTTCTAAACAGGTTTCGATTGTATTGAAAATGACAATTTTAATAACATACAAAATTACCTAAACAACCAAGATTTAAACGCGAACAGAAAAGTTAACGAAAGAAATAAATACTGGCTTTTATGTTTCTTACATTCTTTTTGAGATTCATCAGTTGGTTGTACTTGAATCTTAATTTGCGAATTCACACAATAAACAAGAACAGTAAATATATGCAATTTCAAGACATTCTTTTACGTAGTTCATATGTCGACAGAGACTAATACACATATGAAATTAAAGTCTTTAATGTTGTTACTACAGGTCCTAATTTCTATTTCTGTGGAGACCATGAGTGTACACTTGTTTCCAGAACTTTACATACTTTAATTACTCTCCAACTAAATTAAACAACTGTTATGAATTATCTCTACAGGGAAGCTTTCTTTATTAACATAAATGATAACAAAAATGGATAGCAGCTGACGGTGGAATCCAGTTTGACGTGCGTTTCGTCCTATTTGGGACTCGTCAGCTGGATGTACCTGCATCTCAGAGAGTTGATATTCACTCTTAGACTCGAACCCAGTACCGTTTCATCTTTGTTTATAATGCTTGTAAATTAAGACAATATCGAGGCAATACGCACAGTATGCACATATGCCAATAAGAGATTGATCAATTTAAGTTCTAAACATCAATAGAAAGATTCAAGTAAAAGAATACTAAGTAAGTTTACTAAATGTTATACCATTAACTACTGGAATGATATCAGTACTCTGTTTTTCGAGAGAAAAAAAATTTACCTTATACAAGTAATAATAATGAATAACAAGAGATTGAAACTTACCTTTATTCTTGAATCATATATCTTTGCTTTTTCCAATGAAAAACAAACAATACACTTTCATCAATATGATCAAATTGTTTTATTTAAATGAATGTCATTAAATTTCTTTACACTTATGAAGATGAATAATTGATATATAGATATATATATATATATACATACAGATTTCTACAGTCTTAAAGCTTTATAAAAATTATATTCCATTACTAACCCTAACCAGTCAACATTTGTTTATGAGTACTTTTTTTCATTTTATTCATTGTATAACTTGAAAATGATTCTTACTTTCAATTTTAATAATTAGCCAATGAAAAATTAGTTTAATTATTTTAACCAATTAGATAATTTAGAAAATTATCCAATCAGATGATGAGAAGAATGTATAAAGTTAATTTGAGATAAATAATAACCAATTTTAAACATTTTTTTGGGTGGATTTAAATTCACTGTTTCCACGTCAATCTAATGTATTACCCAGTGTAATAACGATGATTTATACGTTCCTGTATTCATAGAATTTGTTATATTATAATATGTTTTTTTATTAAAGAACTAGATTATGCCACGTCTGACTATGTTATGCCAGACGTTGATTGCATGCTGAAATGATATCCCAAGTCACGATGAGTTTTAAACACATTGTTGATTTTTTTTCAAGTAGACCGTTAATCAATAATGTGACTGGAGAAACGTTTGTTGTGCTGTGAACTATATTTTTGTAAGTGACTGTTGTCTTTAGTCTCAAAACAATAATGTTTGTCTTCTGTTAGGTAAGTTTTACCGGCTTTTAGTTCGTGTTTTGGGTTTATAGGCCTAATTATCTACATTTAACTACTTTGAATAACATGTCTGTGCAAATGAATCAATAATTGTGACACCTGCTTAGTTTAGTATTCTTGGGTATCGTATAATTAAGTTTAGTCGACAAAACGACACTATGCTTAAGTATAGTGCTTGAAGCAGGTAATGAGGCAGATCATTTTAGTAAGTAGAACACTCATTTTTGTTATCAGGCTTAAGCGTCACAACTAGAAAACGATTAGTATAAAATAATGCATACATTAGAGCTGATATAGCTCCAGGACGATGAAGTTGTGAGCTTAGAATTTGTGCAGAACAGGAGGAATCACGACTATGTTATATTGATCTATCATATTTATCATATTCCCACTAGCCCTAACATAACGCTAATTTATTTCTTTAATAAGTTACACGTAATATGGTAGTGATATGAGCTCATTGTAATAACTTAGCCTATGATAAAAAACGATAAAGAAACTGCAGTCACTCTTATATCAATCTGCTTTTAATGAGTATACTGATTCAAATCAGTCTGCTTGCAAATAGGAAAAAAATTATCTTGGATGCTGTTGCAGTCATGTGTCATAAGGTAGCGTTCATTTTGAAGAAAAGTGATAAGTATGTTTGGTGTTTATTTGTAGACTGTACGTCTAGCTCTGACCATATTTTAAAATCACTGTCATTAATACGGTACTAAGCACATACTATGCTTTTCACAGGTTGTAGTAGCTGACTTGATCTTAAACTAACATTCATGAACTCGGTGTAAATTACAGCTGCGTGAATTCTTTGCTTAAAAACATGTGATTTGTTCATTTGCCTATTCCACATTTTTGACTTAAGCCATTACTATTCTTTTCATTTAGAATGCAACAGGAGTGAGCCTTCACAGATATTACAAACTGTTTCGTTGTTAGAACTATGGCCCAATGAAACTGTTTACGGAAGACTTAACTAACAACAGCTTTTCCCAAAGCTCATTAAAAGCATGCTGGACGTCCACTTTCGTCTCATAACCACTTTCAATATTTATTAGTTACTTCTTTTACCCTTTCGTTCAAAAAAAAATAAAAGACTATAGCTTAACATTACCAATGCGAGTTTTAAATAGAAACCTGGTGTAAATCTTTGTTTGATATTACATTGTTAATGAAAATTCCGGAATAAATTTGTAGATCTGATGCCATTTCGTTTTATCAGTTTAACCGTTGTAAGAAATTTGTGAAACATGAGCCTCTCAGCACCTAGTTCATATGTAAAAATTTAAGTGATATAGTACACATGTTGGTTATTTTCTTGGAAAACTTACACACCCGAGCATTCTTGCAACCAATTCTAGCCACCATGACGTGTCACGGCAGTTGATGAATGGATGAGCGTTACACATATCCTAACTGTCCCCGCATCTAATTTCATAGTTGCTTACTCAAATGCCCTATGATACGCAACCAATGCCTCTACCCACACTAATGGAATACTCAAGGGTACCCCGTATGGCGCCGTACATCGGTCTACGCACTCTCTTAGCTTTTTAGTAAGAATGTTACTACAGTCCTACTAAGCATTCCATGACCCCCCTTGTCTCCATCAAAACAAATTAGTCTGTATTTGCTGTATACAACAATCTTATTTTTCAAAAGTGAGACATAACAGTCACAAATTTGAGTAAAATGACAATATACAGCAGATGCACATGGCGCGACATGTTTTCATCGATTACCTGAAATAGAGAATACGAATATTAGCTTAACAGGTGCATTTACAAGTGAGCATAGTAACAGTTAATTACCTTTTTACTCCCTGTTCATGGCCCTGCAGCTTCCTTGTACGGCCAAAACAACAAACATACATTACACATTATTAGCAGATTTCCGGCTTTTTAATGTTAAGCTTGCTTTCACGCACGACGTATTGAGTACAACCCATCTATTACTGTTATATGGTATATTTTTAAAAACAAACCCTCCGAAATAGATTAGTAGCATCTCTGACTTCGTCCATGGTTGTCAGGTGCCTGGGTCCTTTCGAAAGCATTACTGATATCACCTATTATTGAGCACTCAGTATTCGTTTGACTCATTGATGGGATAGGGTTGTCCATAATACTGAAGAAAATAACAAACAGGTGATCGTTTTCTTTTACTGCTCTCGATAACATCATAAATAAAAATTAGAAATGAACATGCGGATAGTTAGACTCCCAGGCGGCAGCAACACTTATTTTAGCTAGAAAAAAACAACTTTAATTTTCAAAATCTACAACATAATAGTCAAAACTAAACGGACTAACATTTTATAACATAAAACAAGCAAGTTTGCCTGAAGATAAACTTTGACTTGAGTAGCCGCAGGAAAAACCGAGAAAACAAGGCTTATTCAATGAAAATTTACAACAATCAGAGTATCACATTAACTGCGGAATTTCAGCACACTGAAATATCCAATTATGCAGCTACACAAAAGATATACAAAGATATACACAATTAGATATCCAAATTATTAGTTCAAAAAGTGGCCGGGTTTGTTAGTCATATTAGTCGTCTCAATAGTGACGATCATATTTTGTTTTATATTACAAACTAACTTGGATTCACGTGGTAGAATTTTAAACGATATAGTTTGCCATAAACCTGACCACCTTTGGATTATTGATTTGGTCTAGAATTATAGAACCTACTGAGTACTCATTGAAAACAATATTCTTCACTCATATGTCTGTGTTTCTGTGATAAACCTAGTGGGTAAGTTATATAAGTTCGAGTGATTACTATAAGCTCTATAGTTATCCAATGCTAAACTATTTGAATTTTAGATAGTGAGTTTAATTTTCACTTTTGTTGTTTTTGGTAGAATAGTAAATAGAATAGGTTGTCAGTAACAGATTACCCAGACAGTTCTAGAAGCTGGGATAATGATAAGAAAAAACATAACTAGGGTATCAAGAAATCATTTAGAATCCTCTTATATTTAACCATGAAAGGGGTTAAATTCCTGACGAAAAGAACAATATTATGAATTTATTGTAGCAGTGAATGTTTGATTTTCCCGGAAAACTACATCGAAGAGAAATGTAGTTTTGTCCCTTCCAAAACAAGCTATTTATATCATCGACAACAAACTTCAGCAAGACTATAATTGATGGAAGAACAAGTGAAATTAAGGATACATGTCTTGGATTTTGCTACGAATTTCATTCATCAACATAGTTAAGTGGAATTTTGGCATTATAACTGATGTCGGTTCGTGGTGTTTGACTAGTTGTTGCAGCCTATACATATATTCCTCTTACTAGCTTAAGTGGCATTTGCTTAAATCTCTCAATGACTCATTCGCTTTCCTACAAATATGTTATTTTTAAAATTGATCAACTCGTTCCCCCTTATTCAGTCGTTCGCTTCCACTCGGATTGGCGTTTCTGAGCGTATTCGCCCTTTGTGATCTGCGCAGTAAAATAATAAACTATAGTCAACTCTTCGTATCGTCTTCTGAAATTCATACATTATTAGGAATTAAGTAATCATGGTTATCAGGACGAGTGATGTACGAAGCCTTAGGAATTATCTCGAAGATATTCCACTACAACTTGACTAATGAGTAATTCGAATGATAAGTTAAAGTAATTTCTTTAATTCCAAATGACCATCTACAATCACTTAACATAAGTCAAACAGAAATCCTATTTCACTTTAATTTCAAAATGATGAGGATTCATGGCTAAAATCAGTATTCTTCAGGGATCTTGATCTTTCAAACCTGCATAGTTGATTAACAAAGCCTTTATTTTGAACAATGAGAATTGGAGGGTACATGAAGATAATCAATCACAAATAAAATCATCGAAATAGGCTGATTTGGTCTTTATGTAATCATTGTAAAGATAACTCACACTTCAAGTACACATTGTTGTCCATAAAAACAATCAAAACTTCGTAATCAAATTATTGAATTCAGAGAACATAACAACAACCACTAATTTCCTAATGTATTTATGAAAATACTAAAGTGATCAAACGAAGCTATTTAAAATGTTAAAAGTAACAAGATTACTGAAGAAGAAATAACATTAACTTTGGGACCAGTTTAAGGAAATATATATACATTAATGATGAACGTAGATGTATCCTAATCATCTAATCAAATCAAACGATTGAAGTTTACTTTATTTTGTAGCTAAGTAGGTACATCTTCAACCACCCTTGATCGTAAACTACAAATATTTATTCTAATGAGTATCTGCGTTTACAAACTGCAATATCAGTATGGGGTTGTGGGAATTAAGTATTTGAATAAGATAATAAACTGACTGATGTTAGAACACCATTGAAAACCTGAAAGCACAGGAAGGCCGTTTCGTCACAGTATGGGACTCATCAATAGTGCGCATCCACGACCCGGACGCGGAATTTGAACTCTTGGACCTTCGGTTTCG